ACCCCAGCCCGCGCTGCTCCCCGGGAGAGCCGCTCCGCCTGGCCGGGCCTGGAGAGCGGTGGGAGTGGAGATAAATCCAGCTGGCAGCTGGTCACCTGTGGTGTTTCCCAGGCCTCCGTACTGGAGCCGCTTCTGTTTAACATGATGAGGGGATCATTAACTGGATGAGGGGATCGAGGGCACCCTCAGTTTGCAGTGCTGATCTTCCTGAGGGTTGGAAGGCTTTGCAGAGGGATCTGGAAAGGCTGGATCCACGCGCTGAAGCCAGTGGCATGAGGTTCAGCGAGGCCAAGTGCCAGGTCCTGCACTGAGGCCACAGCCACCCCAGGCACTGCCTGGGGAAGAGTGGCTGGCACGAGGGCATGGGTCAACAGCCATCTGAACGTGAGCAAGCAGTGTGCCCAGCTGGCCAAGAAGGCCAACAGCAGCCTGGGTTATATAAGAAACAGTGTGTCCAGCAGGACTAGGGAAGTAATTGGCTCCCTGTGCTCAGCACTGGTGAGGCCACACTGTGAGTACCCTGTTCAGTTTTGGGCACCTCAGTACAAGGACATCAAGGTGCTGGAGTGGGCCCAAAGAACGGCAACGAAGCTGGTGAAGGGCCCAGAGCACAAATCTTATGAAGAGTGGCTGAGGGAACTGTGGCTTCTTTTTCTGAAGTAGGCTTGGGGAGGCCTTATCGCTCTCTATAACTACTTGAAAGGAGGCTGTGGCAAGGAGGTTAATTTCTTCTCACAAGTAACAAATAACAGGACAAGAGGAAATGGCCTTAAGTTGTGCCAGGGGAAGTTTACAGTAGATATTAGGAAAAACTTCACCAAAAAGGGGTTGTGAAACACTGGAACAGGCTGCCCAAGGAAGTAGTTGAGTCACTATCCCTGGAGATATGTAAAAGATGTGTAGATGTTTCACTTAGTACATAGTGGACAGTGGCAGTGCTGGGTTAACAGTTGGACTCAATGATCTTAAAGGTCTTTTCCAACTTAAATGATCCTATGACTCCTCCTGTGTGAGACCTGGTAAAACTTGGGTTGCTCTGTCCTTAGTACTTAATTCACTTCAGCCACTTTTCATTCTAAGTATCGCTGTGCTGCCTCTGGTAGTGCCTCACACATTTCCCTAAGCATTTCCTATTCTTCAACCAATACCAGCAGAGCACCAGCGCCACACATGGCCAGGCATAGGTGCTACCGAGGGCCAGTGGCCCTGCAGCGGATGTCTGCAAGCCTGCTCGTTGGTCCTGGGCTTGGGGAAGCCAAGTCTTGCCACCACAGCTGTTTTCTGTCCTCCCCCTTCTGGTCAGGTGCCCTTCATGGGCTTCTAGCCACACCAAACGTGGGGTATGGGGCTGACACCTCTTTTTGCAGTTTTGTTTTCATCATGTGCAGGACAGAAAGCTGGATTATACAGAGAAAAAAAAGGTTTTATTTAGGATGGAAACAAATAGCTTGCAATATAGGAATATAGAGGAGGTTTATATAACAGTCATTAGCATAGTAATAAATGCAAATATAGTAATTCCTAACTGTTAACGCTGAACTTTGTATGCTAGTACTTTACAAAAATTAGTGAGCTAAAGAAGAGTAGTCTGGAATAAAAAGGGCTACAAAATCACAAACAGTCTCTGGACTACCAGTAGGAATTCATCATATACCAGTTCAGACTCGGACATCTGGAGGGGAATTTTTTTTTTTTTTGGTTAAATAAGGTAAGGCCACATTTTTGCCCATGTTTTGTTGATGTCCCAAGTTGGAAGGTGTTTCAAACCAGCAAGGACAAATCTGGGACCAGCTGCCACAGACTAGTAATGGGCAGCGTTCCCACTGGAAATGCTTGTCCATCCATCCGTGTTTTCTGGGAGCAGCCACAACAGTTCTGCATCACTTGGCTATGATGTCACTCGGGCTTTGCGTGTGGATGTAGGAATTCACTGTCCCATGTAAGATTTGGAAAGAGGAAGAAAAGACAAATATACTGAAGTTCAGCTCCAAAGTCTTAGACTCAAAACATTTGGAAGTGCCCTGTCAAACACTGAGTACATTTACTACATTAATGAAAAGTAAGGGAAGGTAATAAAAGGAGACTTCCTAAGACTACTAGAGTGTCCAACAAGCCAAAGTTTTGAGTCAGAACCAACCTGGAACTTCTTATTTTGATCTTCACTTCAACTGTAAAGTTATTTTACAAGCCTGATTCTTCCAGTTGTTATTCTACTGCATATTCACAGTCCCCGATTTATCCCAAAGCTGGTGCCTGTTCCTCAAGCTCTCAGCACTCTTCCTAAACCACCAGCACTCAGGACCAACTCCCTGCTTCCAGACATCCTAGTGGGTTTTGTGCCACCACAGTTAAGCACCCAGCCCTGACACCAGAGTTCCTGTGTCTCAAGTCAGTCTCTCCCCACCGTGTTCTCATCACCCGCCTTTTTCAGGTGCCCCCAAACACTGCTCTGAACACCTGCCCCAGCCCTACGGCAGGAGTGAGAGGGAGGTGAGTGTTCTCCTGCCCACCGCACACCTGTATGGCTTCTTGGCTGCGTGGATTTTCAGATGCACTGTAAGCGTCGAGCTCTTCCGGAAGCTCTTCCCACACTCGCCGCACTCGTAGGGCTTGGCCCCGGCGTGGATCCGAAGGTGGGCACCGAGGGCTGAGCTGTGCCTGAACGCCTTCCCGCACTCCTCGCACCCGTAGGGCCTCTCCCCCCGGTGGATCCTCAGGTGCACGCTGAGGGCCGAGCTCCGCCGGAAGCTGTCCCCGCACTCCACACAGATGTAGGGACGCTCCTCGGCATGGGTCGTCTGGTGCTTGGCCAGGCCGGCGCAGTCGCCGCACCTCCGGCCGCACTCGGCACACTGGTAAGGGCTGGGCAGGAGGCCGCCGTGGCACGTGGGCAGGGCCTTCCTGACGTGGGTCCGGCGGTGCGTGGTGAGTGCCGAGCTCTGGCTAAAGCCCTTCCCGCACATGGGGCACTTGTAGGGCTTCTCGCCCGTGTGTGTCCGCGTGTGGGTCACCAGCGAGGAGCTCTGCCGGAAGGCCTTCCCGCACTCGGTGCACTCGTACGGCTTCTCTCCCGTGTGGATCCTCTGATGCCGGATGATGGCCGAGCTGTCCCGGAAGCACTTCCCGCACTCCTGGCACTTGTGGGGCTTCTCTCCGGTGTGGACTCGCCGGTGGATGATCAGGGAGGAGCGGTCGCCAAAGCTTTTCTCACACCGGGGACAATGAAAGGGTTTCTCACCCTTGTGGCTTCGCTGGTGGACGATGAGGTGCGAGTTCTGGCTGAAGCTCTTCCCGCATTCGTTGCACCGGTAGTGTCTTTCTCCAGTATGGGTCCGCTGGTGCCTGATCACATTGGACCTCTGGCTGAAGGTCTTTTCACACTCGTTGCACTGGTAGGGCTTCTCACCTGTGTGGATGCGCTGGTGTTTGACCAGGTCCGAGTTGCGGGTGAAACTCTTCCCGCATTCGGAGCAGCTGAAGGGTTTCTCTGCCAGGTGGATCCTCTGGTGCTGGCTCAGGTACGAGCTGCGGCTGAAGCTCTTCCCACATTTGGGACACTCGTAGGCTTTCTCTCCCACCTGCTGAATCCAAATGGCACCGTTCCCATAAATGCATGGGTCTGGTTTGTCCCCAGCAAGGATAACCTTACTGATGTGGGCTCTACCACTGCCCTCACATTCCCAGACTTCCATCTCACAGGGAGTTACCTTTCCAAAAGGTATCTCCACTTCACTTTCTGTCTCCAGCTCCTGCTTGCAGTCCTGTCGCTGACTGACGTCCTCATGGGTAACTCCTGTGAGCCTTCTGGAGTGTAACAGATGCAGTTCAGCTCTCAAAGGATGTTCCTGATGAATCTTGCCCTTCTCTGTATCGCACATGGTCCTGTCACCTGATGGAGTGAACAGAGGAACTAGCAATGAATAATCCCCCCCCGAGCTCCTCCAAGGAAAGAAGTCCAAACAGGGCAATCACAGAGACCTGCCACACATCAGTCACCATTAGCTAACCACACAAGAATCAGCTCTTTGGTATCCTCTGTGGGCAGAGTGAGGGCACAGAGACAGAGGAGCATGGGAAGGGAGCATGGCCTGAGGATGGGCGGCCACTGTGGCACAGATTGCAAAGAGGGTCCTCTGTCATAAAGTTACAGCCCAAAAGGACAAATCCTGTCATTTGCTTGTCCTCAAATTTCCCATGTCTAATGAGGTTAGAGGAACGTCATCAGTACTCTCCTCAGCAAACCTCACTGTATCCACTTTTCTTCCTGTTGCCTATGAATCACTGCTCTTCTACCATCATTCCCATGCTTAGTCAAGGAAGGAAGAAGCCAACACCACAGGAATATCCACCCCTGCCAAGCAGACTATTTTCTTTCTTATTTCCAGTCATAGCCCTTTTCCTTAAAAAGAAAGTGCTACATATTCTGCAGCAGATTGCATCTATATTTTGTCTACAGAACAGACAGGGAAGTGAGTAGAAAGAAACTGTTTTATTAATCAAGCATGGAAATGACCATTTAGACTGAAACATCTAGAGGGTCCTGATTTTTTATTTATTGTATTCACATGGGGATTACACCTCAGAAATGGATGCTGGAGCATGAGGTAAGCTGGTTGGCTGGATGGCACCACTTCCAGAGTTAAGATCATCCTCTTACATGTGGGAGATCAGAATATGAGGTAAATGTAGCAGGATAAACCCCTCAGGGTTTGTTTCATGTGATCTGCAGATTTTGGAAGACACCACCACACTGGTTATATTCCCAAAGTTTTGTGTACAACACTCAGGGCTGGAAAACATTTGTGGTACAAATAAAGGTCTAGCACTGGGCCAAGGTATGCCCCTCAAGGCAGCAAACTGACCAATAAAACTTTCAAACTATTGTCATCATGAAAGGAAGAAAAAGCCACTCTTTCATTAGTTGAGCCTTCCAACATTCTGAGAACAGTCTTTGCTGAAAAATACACAGGATTTTATTTCATTTTGGACACAGTCTTTTTGAAAGGGTTGAGATACCCCACAGAGGATGCTTCTTCATTATTGTACCCTGCCTACAAATCTTCCTGAAAGCAAAATCTCTATAGGACAGGAGCAGAAGAGGCAAGGTGAGTGCGGAGCATGCAGCACAGTACACACCAAGTTTTCATCATTCAGCTCTTCTCTTCCCTTCCCAGACGGGCTCTATTCACTTTCTCACCTTGTGAGCAATCTCTTTACTGTCTCGGTGTTTAGCTGCTTCTGTCCCCAAAGCTGCTTCTCTTCACTCCATTCAGGAGGTTAAAGCCAAGTCAAGGACTGCAAATGCTGACCAGAGAAAGGAAAACGTGTAATAAATTCCTGTCATAGCAGTGGTGCTGTAGATTACAGCAGAGTAAGTATTTAGTAGACGAAAGCAAGCTAGACTAAAGGAAAATGACACCCAGAGACATGAGGCAGGGTCTGTTCTGCCACAGACAGTGACACTGCTGTCTGGGTCCAATAACCAGGGCCAGCTCATGTAGCAAAGACAGGGTCAACTACACATGCTGCTGAGAGCTACCTGCAAGCTTGCTGCCTGCTCACAAGTGTCTGCATGTTCCTCCTTCTGCATTTCCAGACCAAAAATGCCCCCTGCTGTGTTCTGTGTAACAAAAATACAGATTCTTCAAGCCATTACGTTTCCTCCTAGTGAACTAAATGGAAATATAATGTAGTTAATGCAGTTCTGTTCTGAAGGTAGATGAAAAATGCCACTTTCACAACTGGGCTGCTTTCTGTGTCTGTCTGGTGTCCTGTTTATTGCCTTCACTGAAGGAGCATTTTGTTTGGTTGGTCTCAGTGGCTCACCCAGGCAGGCGCAGGCCTGGGTGAGAAAAGAGATTTTGGCCTGCTCGCACATTATCAACAGGAACAGTCCAAAAACAGAATTTCCTATCCTGTGCTCCAGAAAACTGGCAATTTGGCTGCCTTGTTTCAGATGGAGTTTACAGGACTGGCACTGAGCAGACAAAAACCAGTCGCACACACCTGTTTATGCATGAACACTGAGGTGATTTAGTCAGCCAACACAAAATGCCACTTCTCAAGGATCTCTTTTTCAGAGCAGAAGCAGGCTTTGTGGGGGTGGGGTTTGTGGGATAGAAAATCACGTCACCCATTTAGCTTTAGCACTACATTTGTGCAGTGGTATTTGTACAGAGGCATCCGAAGATGCTGAGGGCTCAGTGACATCCTAGAAATGTACAGGTTACAGAAGGAAAATGGTTAAAACCTGCACATGTGAATGCCAGCTCTGCAGTGGTGTTGCTCCATTTTGGTCATGTGCAGTCCCACCATGCTGCTACGAGTAAGTATAAAATTAATCATAACAGGGTGGTCTTAAGAAAAAGAGATATCAACCAGCATCTTGTACTTTCAAAATAAGAAACAAAGTGAACTGGCTGCTCAGCGGTGTACCAGAGGTGAGTATCACAATAACAGTGGGTTACCAGGTCCTCCCAAGGGCAGAGGGAAGATCTCCCCACCTGCATAATGCCACCATGATAAAAGAAATAAAATGGAGAACCAACATTTTGTTGGCTATAGTCATGTCCATCCTGCTCCCTGCTGCCTCCTCCACAGGAGGGCGTTTCCATTTCTCCCAGCAGCAGGCAGTGGCTGCAGGATTTGATCTTTGGTAAGAAGCAAGGGAGCTAAGGTCTCCCTCCCCATGCAATCCCTCATCCACCTATGAGGCAGTGCTGCTCTGCAGGTAAGCCTGATGCTGCTGAAACATCCCTCTGATTTTAGCAAGTGGGAAATATCCTTCTGGTTCAGTCCCCTCCTGCTGCTGTTCAAGAGATGCTGCAAGCACGTGGTCAACACACACCCTAAAATGGTGGGGAAGTACCTACAGAAGGCAGAAGGTGGATGCAGGAGGACAGCTGATGCTGTGCAGAGCCAGGCAGGTTGGGGGATATGGCAGAAAAGCACATTGTGCAACAGGTAGTAAAGATCTGTCCCTAAACACCACTGAGCACCAGAGAGGGACAAGGTGCTGGTCTCCAGAGCAGCCACGTTTGGACAAAGCTGAGTCCCCCAGGCAGTGTCCTGGCTGATGAGTAACCCGGTCCTTGTGAGACCGAATGAGGAACGAGAGAGATCACCTGTAGCCTGGGGAGGTGACGGGCTGCACCAAGCTGCTGTGATGACAGACAGACAGTGGCCCCAAAGACGCTGCTCCATGAAGGACACGGCTGGCCAGGAGCAGGTGAGCCACCACTGAGACCACAAGCCTTGAGAAGACAGGGGAGGCATGGAGAACAGCAGGTTACCATGGGTAACAGCCCAGGGAAACCAAACATCTTCCGTGCGGGCTTTCTGGAGTCTGGATGTGGTGGGACAGCGGGGAGGAGAGCAGACCCTGCTGCCACAGGAGGTGGGCCAAATCCAAACCCAGCCTCACGCAGGTGGCCACTGCTGCCCTCCCCGACCCGAGCCCAGCAGCGGGCAGCAAGCAGGCCAGGCAAACGGCAGGAGAACACGGGGAGCGGAGGTGTCTGTGACACCACCAGCCATGGCACCTTCCCCAGCTCTCCTGGGCAAGCCCATCACGGCAGAAGGATGACCCAGGCAGGTGGGGGCAGCAGCAGAGGGGACACCTCCAGCAGCACAGGGGGCCCAGGCTGCTACAGGTACTGCTCACAGCATGATGTCAGCAATGTGGACCTACCTGGTTTTGTCTGGTGAGTAGGAAACATCTCCCCTTCGAGCCAGGTCGTGAGGAAGGGTGGCCCACCCAGCTGCTCTTTAGCCCTTACCATTGCTCCTCAGCTTTGGCAGTTTGGAGGTGAGAGGAAGAGAGCACCCTCAAACACCTCAGGTGCAAAGATGGTGGCTGCTTAAAATTTTGTCAGTCTTCACCCATTGGAGCTGGTACTTTATTCACCAAGGAGGGCCAGAGAGTGACCTAGGAACCGGGGAGGAGGACTTGGAGCTGGATGCAGTGGGCAGAAGCTGAAGCAGAGGTGGAGACTGGAGACGTGATGATGGGGATGGCTGGGCACATAAACCAGACACCAGTGCAAAGGCTGAGATCTGGACTTGCCCTGCAAGGCCAAAAGGGAGATGCTGGCCAGGTGAAGTGACAGGGGAGGCAGGAGGAAGAGGTCTGAGAGAGGACCTTGGTTAAAGACAGAAAGGAATATATATGGAAGAAATGGATAGAAAGGCCAGGCTGCTCTGACCACGTCCTAGCAGGACACTGTGGAGGGATCCTATGTACCCCAGACTCCTCGTTCCTTGCCTTCTGCAAACCCCTACACAGTTGTCCAGCAAAGTGTGGTGCTTTCCTCTCCTACTGCCTCACTGAGTGCTCAGCAACCCCACTGTCCTCTCAGGAGGAACATTACGTGGTTTTGTTTGATCCTACTGCATCTACAGACACATGGTATTGACAAAATACAGGCCATGAGGAAGTTTTTAAGTTTGTTTTTATAAAAAAAAAAAAAAAAAGACATCATAGCTTAAGAGACTATTACATATGTTGCAAAATCAAACTTGGAGTATGCCTGAATCACAGTCATTTTGCAACCTTAGATTTGTTCCCCCTGCACATAGACATGGTAACCCAGCTCTTTAATTACCTGGCTTCACTGGTTTCATGTGGGTTTTGGCTTCTTTAGTCTCTGGAGGGACACTGCTATTCTAATGAGCAGCTACTCAGTATGTTATGTCACCCTTAGTGGTCAGTGTTTGACTCTCCAATTTGCTTACTGATCCCATTTGAACTCTCTTAAAGATAGAATGACTCATTTCCTCATCTACTTTTTATATACTCTATGTTTTAGAGCTTCACAGCTATTAATTGGTTTATAGTGATTTTGCAAATGGCAGAATTAGGGCAGAGAGGGATTAAAGTTAAAAACATTCACTACTTTTAGAATCTCAGTTTGTGATATCTCAGCCCTAGCTTCTCAGAATACGTATGCTAATGTAGCACTTGCATGCCGTTCAAAATACACCACATGCAGACTGCAAAGCTGTCAGAGAGCTCAGCCTCACACTAATGAGCAACCCACAAGGTAAAGAAAATGCCATTAATGACACGCTAAGAAACCCTGCACTCACCAAGCATCACACAGGAACTTCTGTGGTGTAGCCAGGAATAAAACTCAGCTCTTGGAAGAGTATCCATAAAACTACCCTTGCTCTTCCAGCACCTTCCTGACTCATTCTTCCTTATACCTTCCAAGCTGTGAGAAATGAGGCAGATGTCTGGAATGCAGTAAGTCCCTGACCTGGGAAACGGACTCACTGCCAGAACAGGTCCAGTCTATACACTGAAGGAGCTGATAAATCTTTAGGAGAGAACAGTAGGTTGCTGTGTACTTAAAGAATGTATAAAAAGCATATGCAAGAGCAGAGGAAGTTAAGATTGCATATGAAGCTTTTACTTGGACACATCTAACCTCCAAAGGTTTGATTTCACAAGCTTTCGTAATGTTCCTTACAGGGAACAGCTGGCTTGAAGTTTTGCATATGGGTTCAGTGAATGCCTGGACCCCTGTAAGGGCATACACAGGTCCACTGGGGCACACTCTGTTAACTCAAGGTGTCTGGACCCACTTACCCAGAGGAAGGGAATTTGCAGATTCTAAAATCTTGAAACGAAACTGTTTGCTCCAGCCCCAAGAGCAGTGCTGCATTCCCGGTTTCAGCCATGACTTCTACGACATTTCACCCCATTGAAGACTTGAATCTCCAGAGCTTTGGTTGAAAGTCCCTCGGCCATGTACTGTCCCTTAAAATACTACACTCCTTTCAACATGGGCAGAGCGGGTTTTCCCTAGGTCTAGACCCCCCATCTTGAGCCTATTAGTGCATTTCCCGTGTGCTGGATCCTGCACCCAGAGAAGAGAACAGAGATCTGGGCTCAGCCGTCCAGCTCTTGAGTGTGCCATGGTTAGCATTTCCTTCTCGCTCTGACTCCCTGCGCTTTGTTTGTCAGCAGTGCTCTTGTGCTGGGGCTGCACAGCTGGCCCCCGGGGTGCCAAGGTGCAGCAGCCGGGGACGCCACTCTCTGACCAGGAGTACCAGCAGTTCTTCAGGTCCCTCCGGGTGGCCCACCACGCCAGCACCACCTGCCTCCTCCGGACGCTCTATGGCTGCCACAAACCCCTGGTGCAGAGGCTGGACGAGTACGAAAACCACGGAGCCATCCCTGAGGGTAAAGCTGACCGTGACTCCCGAGGGCAGGCAGAGGGATGGGTGTCCTGCATGGCCAGCACTGGAGCTGATCCATGAGTAGGGACAGAGACTCGTGAGCTGGTGGGGGAGAGGGATAAGTGGCAATCCTGTGGTGAGGAGAAGGCATCTGCTCATAAGCATCCTCTCTCACACCTGATTGTATCCAAATGCATTCCTAGGACCAGACTCCTCTCACACCTTGGGTCATGGAGATGACCAAGGAGTGGTGAAGTTTCTCACTGAGGTTCAGGGACACACCCAAATGGCACAGGGGTTTCCAAGGAGGGATGTCATTCAACAGTGAGGTTATTGCTCAGGGCTAGCGGGACTCCAGCACCAGAGTTTATCACTGAGTCTTTGTCTTTATTTGCCCCTATCTAGGGCCCATATGCTCTGCACTGCCAGGAACTACTTTCTTCCTCAACTTCTGCACCTTTTCATTGTATCGCTGTACTAGGAAAAAGTATTTCATTAAGGTGAGTTATTCAGCTGTTTCTTGAACACTATGGTGTGTTCTGGGCAAGAAACAGTGTTGTGGTTTGAGGCTTGGAATGGGGGCGTGACCTTCCAGCAACTGGGAGGACCCCGGGTGGGTGTGAAACCATTGTATTCCCTCCCCTTCCCACACACACTCTGATAAGAGGCAGGGAGTGGTTTCTTATTTCACTCCTGCCCTGGAGCTCGGAGAGGAAAGTTCTCCTTTCACTCTGTGGGACCCTGGAACCATTTCTGAGGGTTTTGTATATTTTATTTTTTGTATTATTCCCCTAATCTTTGCATATATTATTTTCCTTACCTCCCTTTTTCGTTTTCTGTTCCTTGTTGAACAATATACTTCATTTTTTTTTCAAAAGTGTCTCTCTCTCTCTCTTGAGGGGGGGGGAGAGGCGAGTACATAGTTCTGTTCTGTGTGGGTCCTGCCCTGAACCCCTTTTTACATGGAACCAGGACAAACAGGTACAAGGGAGATCCCTGAAAGTGAGGAAGTGGGAAAACAGGAAGCGAAAAGACAGGGAAGACAGGAGAGCCATGGGCAGCCCACCTTCCAGGGACATTCACATCAAGCTGATGGCACCTGCAGCTGCTTGCCGAAAAGGAGATTTAGCAGAAGGTATTCTTTAAGAAAATGAACCTTTGAGTAACACATCAGCCCTTACCTTCAGCTCTCATTCCCAAACAAGTTAAGACAATCTAGGTTACTGCAGGAAAGGTGGTGATTCATGCTAGAAGAAGAGGAAAGAACGTAAAGAGAAAGACAACTGGGAGTCAAAAGAAGAGACTTCTGGGGAGCTCAATAAGGAAAGGAGAAAGTTTCTTTCCCTTCTTGGGCTCATATCTGTAGGAAGTGAAAAAGATGGGATTGTGAAGACAGGCTAAGAGTTGGGGTTATTTGGCCTGGAGAAGAGAAGACTCTGGGGGGACCTCATAGAGACCTTCCAATACCTGAAAGCAGCCTACAAGAAGGTAGGGGAAGATCTGTTCTCAAGGGTTTGTACCAACAGGACAAGGGGTAATGGTTTTAAGCTAGAAAAGGGTAGATCTAGCTTAGACATTAGGAAGAAGTTCTTTAATAGGAGGATGGTTGATCACTGGAACAGGCTGCCCAGAGAGGTGGTGGAGGCCCCATCCATGGAGACATTCAAGGTCAGGCTTGACAACGCCCTGGGCAACCTGACCTAAGTAGTTAGAGATGTCCCTGCTTATGGTTAGGGGCGTTAAACTAGATGGCCTTTAGAGGTCCCTTCCAACCCAATACATTCTGTCATTCTGTGATTCCATGGTTCTATGATTATGCAGTGAGTGATAACCCTACTGAGCAGAGGGGTGGCTAGGTACCTCTTCTGAAGCCCACCACCTCTACAGAGGTGTGTTTTCTTCTCCACAGAGGACTGCATGTCCAGGAGAGAGCAAAGGCAATCTGGGCAGCACACAGTCCTTCAATGACATGACCATGAGCAGTGATGCTGTGTTGTCCAGCATCTTCAGTGCCCAGCCCCTTCTCCCATCCCCCACGGCCGCACAGCCAGGCCACTCCAGTGCTGACACAGCAGTAGCTGTGACCCCCATCTCCTTACCTGAGGGCACGCTACAGTCAAGGACCAGGCAACTAAATCCTTCTGACCCACAAGCCACAGAGGTGACAGCCACGGGCCAGCACCCTACCAGTGACATCCAGGATCTCCTCCTGAGGCTACAAGACACCCACGTGCAGAGTTCACTGCAGATGCTTCAGCAGTTGTTGACCATGGGGAAGGCAGTGGGAGAAAAAGAGCTGCAGGCTGCCGCCCTGAAGCTGCTGGTGGCCCTGAACAATGCAAGTGTGTTTCAGCGGGCAACCAGCACTGATACAGGGCACAGAAGACAGAACTGAGCAGCAAAGGAGGATCGTTGTGGCTCTTCTACATGGTGTCAAGTCAGGTACGCTGTCTCAGAGGGGATGTATGGGAAGATAGACACAAGAGGACTCCTTTTTCTAAGGTGTGAGGCATTGTCATGGTCAGCAGTGCTTCCCAAGGCCACAACTGTGGGAACCAAGGGGAAAAGTCATCTCTTCCAATTGCATGGGAAAACCCAGGCATGTGAAATGATACTGCCCAGGTTTCAAAGAGAAAAATGTTATCCTCTGGGAAATAACTGTATGGAAGAGATACTGTCTTCTCCCACAGAAGCTGTTCACTCTCTACTGGTCATTTTGGGAGATAGCTACTCTTGAACAAGGCAAGATGGAAAAAGAATACATTTTCCCTGCCTGTGATGTTGACACCACATCTAGCTCTCTGTCTTGGGCAGGGAGATGGGCTTTACTGTCAGTCAATGAATGTCATGGGAGAACACTGGCCTTTCTTCATCAAATACAGGTGTTTCTGCTCAGAAGCATCAAGGGAAGAATATTCCTTGGACGTGTGTGTGTGAACATGCATATTTTACACAAGAGGTTCTCACTAAATGCAGGAAGGAATTATCCTGCAAGGGAACTGCAGGTCTAGCGCTCTCCTTGTATTGGACTTTGCACATCATTGTCATCTACTTGTGAAATGATGCTGTGAAACACAGAGGAGAAATAATAATTTTAAGAGCCTCCTCTTGTCTCTCTCAGAAAATCAGAGTCCGATTTATGGGCACTGTGGCTGAAGTTCTGTTCCTTTTATAAACACCAGACATACCTGTAAGTTAAACTGTGTGAAGCTATCTGGAGCCAGCACTTGCCCACTAAAAGCAGAGTGAGAACTCTTCAGGACCAGCTCTCGTTTTCTGAATCTTCACTCAGAATGAGTTTGGATCTACCTCAAACCTACTCTCAACTCCAGTGGTTGGTTTCTGCTTTCAGGAGGCCCCTGTTAAAGTGAGAATCCTTTATTCACCTTTCCTCCTGCAGGCCTTCTTGCAATCTGCTCCACTGAGGGTTATGAGGAGAAAGGGGCCTCAAGGAGGCATGACACCAAGCACTTTGCCATGGAGAGGGTCAGAGCTGTCTGTTCCACACAGCCAAAAGTGACACAAACGCAGCTGGGTGAAATATAGGCTTTGTCTCTATCCACTGAAGGAAGTCATTACAAGAAGAGCTCTTCAGAAGATCATGTTTGTCTTGGGAAGTGTAATCTTTCCCAAGGCTGAAGGCAGGTCACAGGCTGGAAACAGTCAAGCCCTTGAACGAGAGCGCTTGCTTGCCTTCACAGGGGACTGCCAGGTGCAGTCCTTTACTGGGAGGGATCGCTGACAAGACGCAGACTGCCCTGGACTCACCCTGGCAGCCCAGCCCATTCGCTGCTCCCTAGAAAGACCCCAGAAGCCGCCAGGCCCCTTCCCAGGCACCAGGGCTCGTGTCTGCCCGGCTGCCCGGGCGACACCGGCTCCTCCAGCCCCGGTAGTGGGGCACTGCAGGGCACTTCTTGCGGTAGCCTTGCTAGCTACGGCCGCCCGGGGGCCTGGCTGCCAGCTCACGCTGCTGCAGGTTGCTACACGCGTGGGGCTGCCAGACTCGGCCTCAGCG